CCCGCCCCCCAGACCCCTCCTCCTGCTGTCCCCCACATACACCGCTCCTCCTGGTACCCTGCCCAGGAATCTGCCATACATACTCCTCCCCACTGCTGCCTCAAGGCAGAATACCTACTAAATACTCCTACTGCTGTTGCCCTACCTCAAAAAACCTCACACTCCTCTGCCTACTGCCCCATCCCTCATACACAACGTGTATAATATAAGGCAGAATGGAAACTACAGGCTTGTTTCCCTAATCCAAAAATGTTCTACCAAGGGAATAAAAGGTCAAGACTAACCATTGACTCTGCTTTGCACTTCAACTTTTTAGCCTCTTTCATGTGAAAATCAGCTTGCTGTCTGCAAAAGAGTAGGAAAAAGTTAGTGCAGGTCATACAAACTTCAAATTACTACATGGGGCAAAAGAGGGTGAAAAAAACTGGGCAAAAAAGGAAGGGGTTAAGGGGCGAGGAAGAGGGAAGGGCAAGAAGAATCCAACTGAATGAAGTCTTACTTGTCAAACTTCACTTGAGGCTTCCCTGGTTTAGAGTTACCATTTGGCAAAGAAGGCACTGGAAAAGGATTTGCAGTATTTCCAGAAGACCCCTTTAAAAAATACATACATGTTATGTTCTAAGTCTTAAAAGAGCACCATTCTAACAGTGATACCATTCTTAAGGAGTCTGAGACAGTAGTATGAGGAAGACCAAATTAAACATTGCACAGCTGAGCTTGGTCCAGCAGTTTGCCAGCCACAGATCTAACTGAAGCTGCGGCTTCTGGTTGTGAGAGGGACAGAGTGTGAGGACAAGAATGTTCAGGACAGCAGAAAACCCACAGAGCAAAGCAATGCATTTCTCTTCGTGTACACACACACACACACACACACACACAGTTAACAGGAAGTTGGGATGCTGGATTTCCCATTATGACCAATAATAAAAGTATCTGAGATATAAGATCAAACAAAGAAGTGGAATGATCCATTTCTCATGCCAAGCATCAGTTTGAAAATCACTCCAAAAGCCTAGTCTGAGTTTCCCATCTCTGAATCATTTTTCTGGGGCTGGAGAGATGGCTCAGCGGTTAAGAACACTGACTGTTCTTGCAGGAGACCTGAGTTTGAACCCCAGCACCCACATGGCAGCTAACAACTGTCCATAACTCCAGTTCCAGGGGATCTGACAGCTTCTTCTGTCCTCCGCGGGCAATGCACGACATGGGTGCACTTACCTACATGCAGGCAATACATGCCATACACAAATAAAAATAATAAAATATAAAAAAAGAAACATAAACAGACTCCTGAATCTTTCTGTAATATTAACTCTAAAAACATTGTAATATTGTTCTCTGAAAACAACTCGAAGCTGCCATATTAAAATAGGTGAATGTTCTAACTCTGCAAGAGCATGAAGACACACCACTACATTCTGTTTCAGCCGTTGCTGCTGAGCTGCTTACTTTATGTTCAGGGCGGCCTCCAGAGCCCCTGCTCTGTACTTTTCTGTGCTTGGAAACAGAAGGGTCTTTCTGGCTGCTCTTGGCACTGCTGGCGTTTTGGGGAGGGTCCTGGCTGCAGGTGTCTGCTTCTCGTTTTGACCTCTTGTGTGCAGGCTTGGCTGGCTTCTGGGAGGAGGAGGAGGATAAGGATGACGAGGACAAGGATGACACAGGTAGAGGGGGAAGCATTTCCTTTCTTGAGGACTCTGAAGATGACCTGGGTGTCCTGGAATATAACATCAGTCAAAGAAGAACAGACATCATGGCTAAATTTGCTTATAAAGGACAAAAAAATCAGCCACTGGCATAAAAGACTGCAATGTCACAGAGCATGAAATAGAGTTGCAGAAAGGCCAAAGTTTAGGGATTTTTTGATACTTCATAAAACCCAGCCCTGCCTATTAGTAATAAATTATGTTGTACCAGTGGTCACTGAGTTGGCGGAGTCTGGTAAAAGTTCTTAGGTTCTCTGTTACTAGCTCCTACTTTGGTTGCTCACCAATCTGTACTTTTCCAAACAACAAATAGGCGAGCTCAGCTGCCACCTCAACATGTGACACACCCCCATCTTTGTTGCATGTTCCCCCAGCTCCCCTTCCCTAGGAGATGATGCATGTGTTTTCTGCTGAGTCTCTTGTGAGATTTCTTGGATAAACCAGAGTAAACAGTCACTCCTCACAGTCACACCTTCTTGGCAGTCCGGCTCCCATCTTTCCTGACAGATTCCTGGAGGCTCTCTAGGCTCTCATTTAGCTCTAAGAGGCAGAGACCTGAAACTGAGCCCCCTGGAGTCCAAGTAAGATCCAGTAAGACCTCCGCAGCTTGATCAAGTTTTATCTTTGCTTCCCACCCTGCTAAGAAAAAACAATGGCAATACCTTTTTGGTCTGTCCGTATGCCCATATAGTACTAGGGATTAAATCTAGTGCCTTATACATACAGGCAAGCACTCGATCACTGAGCTAGCTCCCTGGCTCTTGTTTTCCTCTAGAAAAAATTAATTCCAGCAGGGGACATAGCTCAGTGGTCCAGCACATGCTTAGCATGCACAAGGCCCTGGGTCTCATCCTTAGCACCACTACTAACTATTTTTTTAAGAAAAAGAAAAAAATAATTCTAGATGTTTAGTAAATTTTCTTTAGTGAAAATGCGTTGATAAATCTAGGTCTGTTGCCAAAGGTACTGTCAGTTCTCATGAGGTTTTCCATGAGACGCAAACCACACAAACTTAACACACCAATGAGCTAGAACGAGTCACTACCACCCAAATGTACTACAGAAGAAAGCCTTGTGCCCGTCAACACCCAGGGCTTCTTAAGCCTTCCAGGCTGTTCACAACTGATTTACTCACTTTGTTTTACAAGATTCTTTGTGGGAGGATGAAGATGAAGACTGTGGCTTGGCTTCTTTTTCCAATCTGATTTTCTTGCTGTCAGAGTCCTTTTCTGATTCACCCTATTATTGTAGGATAACAAGCAAGGCCAGTGTTAGAAACAACTACACAGACGAAATGGCAAAGGAAATGCAGGACTGCCAAAGGGGTAATTCAACTACTAGAGACATCTGTGCACAGGTAGTCACACACTCAGAGGCTGGATGTGATGGAAACATGGAGGACAATCTAACAGTGAGCAATGGGCTTCATTCTGACGCGGCCATGGTTGTACAGAACGCTCTGATCATACTCGCTTCATTACCTTCTCTGGCTCACCCTCACCTGCTGGTCCCCCTCCTCGCCACTTCCCAAACAGTCCCTCTTCTACTTTATGTCTTGTATTTTTAACCTCTGGATTCTTTCTACAAGAAAAAAACATGTTATATTTGCCTTTCTGAGTCTGGCTAATTTTGCTTAACATGAAGATTTCTAGTTCCATTCATTTTCCTGTAATGACATAACTTCATTCTTTATAGCTGAATGAAAACCTCTAGGACATTCTAAATTTGATGTAGTTTGTATTCATACATATTTTGCATAAAGAACATACCCAAGGCAAGGAAGATATCAAGAGAAAACAGACTTCAACACACAGCTAATGCTTCTAAATATTTAAGGTCAATATTAGTATGTACAGGGCCCCCAGCACCAAAGCAAACAAACAAAAAATAAATAAGACATTCATATTCACATCAAGTACCACACGGGTGACCTCATGAGGTCTCCCCATTACTTAACATTCACTAACTTTATTATACATTTAGCACTCAAAGTAGAATACTTAAAACTTCTAATGACAAATAAGAATATTGTTAAAAAATAAAAAAAGACTACAGAAATCCTCCGCATATCTTATCAAAACAACTATACATATATGCCAAAAATAAAAATGATTCTTTGAGGATTCTGGCTTTCTGCTTTCTACTGTCCCTCCCACCTATATATTCATTAACTCTCCCCCAAAGAAGAAATACATTGTTATTTTTCAAAAAAACTTGATTAAAGGACTGGGGAGATAGCTCAGTTAGCAGTCAGTTTTGCAAACTGGTGAGTTCTAGATTTGAATGAGAGAACCTGTCTTTAAAAAAAAAAAAGGATGGTGATACCTAGCATTGACCTCTGGTCTTCTAAGTACGTTTAATCATTAAAAAAGAAGTGTTTATGGCACACCAAGTTTATGAGGAGCCACACGGGGACATCACAGTGGTCTCTCTGTGACTGGTGGGGCTTGGGAGAGCATTTTTTTTCTAGTACTGGTGGTAAGGTGGTGAGTGGGAGTCCTTTACTCTCCTGAGCACTGAGAGCAAGCTCCTGGCTGTGAGTTTACCAAGTTAGAAACCTGAGACACAACTGTCGATTTATGACAATCCCCAACCAAGCCTAGATTCTCTGAGCCATGAAGACAGGGTGGTCACTGTGACAGGAATTTCTGATCAAAGTGACAATGGGAGGACCCAGTTTCACCAGTATATCTTCCTTTGCTCTGAATCTCTCCAAGAAAAATGAATAGATTCGTAACTGTAGCGTCAAGGTCTACTCAGATACTAATAAACAGCCTGAGTGTGCTCAAAGGAACAGGAAATAGAAAAAAACCAAATCCCTCCCTCCTGGCCTGCTGCATGTACACACATACCTCAGTGTGCTCTTCCACCTAGCACCACAGACTCTTCCAGTGAAACACTCCAGTTCATCTGCGGGCTGTTCTTTTTGGAAATGGACTTAACCAGAGAGGCCCACAAAGATAGATTTTTTTAATGTTGTGGTGTGTGTAGAGGGGAAAGCAGAGGTGGAAGGGAGGACTGCAGGCCAAGGCAGGTGTGTCTCCTCTGTGGAAACACCCCTAGTAGCCAGGACCGAAGGCTGGGAGCACTGAGACTTCAACTTGGCTGGTTTGAGAAGTGACTTTGAAGATTTGGTGCAAAACAAATGGAATATTTTAATATTGATTAATTAAGTGATATTTAAGATATACTAGATAAAATTATTAAAACTGTTGGCAATTTACTTTTCCTTTTTATATTTTGATATGACTGAAAACTATTCACAAAGGTGGCTCACATTACATTTCACTGGAAGAGCACCACGCTGCCCACCTTGCTAACGGTGATCTGCATGCACACTGGGCTCTGAACTAATTCCCTCACACCCTTTTTTTTTTTTGGTTCTTTAAATCAGCATACAAAGTAATGGGTTTCATGGTGGCATTTTCATAGATACTGAGTTCTTATTTGTCCTCCTCCTCCCACATCCCCTACTCGTCCCTGGTAGCTTTCATGTCCTATGGATTCTATCACCCCTGCCTGAAATCTCTTCTTCTCTCGAGGTCTGTTGTCTAGTTTTTCTGGGCTTTAATTTTTAATTAACCAATGTAAAGCAGGACTTACACACACAAAGAAGATGAGATAAACACAATTCAGTTGGATCTGGAGATGTGGCTCAGTGGATAAGAAAGAACACTTGCTGTATAATCATGAAGACCTGGGTTCAAATCCCTAGGACCCACATAAAAAGCCAGGTATGGTTGTACTTGAGCCTATATAACCCCAATGTTATAGGGAGGTGGAGACAGGAGGACATCTGAACATTTGCACACAAATGTGTGTATACATCATACACCACTCACATCTAAATAGATACACAGACATACATACATACACATACAATCAGTTACACAGAAATATAACTACTGTTAGGAAGACTAGGGAATGTATCATGATGAACCTAATAAAGAGGTATAGTATGTGAGGAAAGAAAGTCCTAAAGCGGTGACTAAAATGCCCCAATTTCCACAGAGTGGTCACAGGTCAGCCGTGAAAGGTGCTGGAGTGCATGGGGATAAGTATTGAGGGGTTACTGTGACAGGAATTTCTGCTCAGAAAACAAACCTCTTGTACTTGACACATAGCAGATTCACAGTAGAGAGGAAAAGAGTCATTCATTAGGGGTTAAAATGGAACTCTGCCACAGGCATGAAAAGCCCCTTGTCTATTAGGCACCTACTTGTGTCCAAGCACTCTGCCACCAAAAAGTCCAGAGCTTGGATTAAAAGTTGCACAGATGTCCTAACAAGCACTGCAAGAAAATAGGACATCTACATTTGTGGAAAAGTGAGAATTTGCTAAAATACCCAGATGGGTATTAACTTACACATGAGATGGTAAAACACTTTTTTAAATGAAAAGCATTTCCAGACAGTTCACGACAGAGGTCCAGAGGGAAGGCCAAACACAACCTGTCTACAACTTGCTTCTTCTAGGAGGCACCAAAGTCCAGAGAGAATGAGAACTCATTTTTGTTTGTATATTTTCACGTTGCTTAGGACATGCTAGTTATGATCATAAACCGAAGTGACAGGTCCTTCTAAATCACACATGGAAATAAGATTCACACTGAGTTGCTCCTCATCAGCCAGCTGTAACTCCAGCCTGTGCCAATCATAAACACAAGAGCAGCCAGCACACAGGAAATCACTAGATACCAACTTCAAGGCAGGCCAGCCTGTGCCAATCACGAACACAAGAGCAGCCAGCACACAGGAAATCACTAGATACCAACTTCAAGGCAGGCCAACCTATGCCAATCACAAACACAAGAGCAGCCAAACCATAGGAAATCACCAGACACCAACCTCAAGGCAGGCATTTGAAAATGCTAGCGTTTGCCATTCACTGGACTCATTAGTTTTCTACCAATACTTAAAAACCTCAGAAGCAGAGCCAGGTGTGGTGGCACACACCTTTAATCTCAGCACTTGGGAGGCAGAGGCAGGCAGATCTCTGTGAGATGAAGACCAGCCTGGTCTACATAGTGAGTTCCAGGACAGTTGGGGCTACAGGGAGACCCTGCTTCAAAAAGCAAACAAAAAATCTCAGAAGGTAAGTACACTCTATACCTAATAGAAAGGGGGCCATTAAACCAAGTAAGCAGAATCCCTTGTGCTGGTCCTGCCAGGCCACTGTGCTGCTGCCCACTGGTTCCCTGTACATGGTGACCTTGAATGTCAGCTCTTCTGTCTGGAAAGGCCAAAGCTTCCCCAGAGCAGTCACTGGCATCTGAGGGGACACAGCTGTGGTCCCTGGGAGGACTGCACAACCTTAAGTAGTTGCCTAGAGAGAGGGTCACTAAAGTGGGGGCATGGAGAAGTGGGTGCCAGAGAACTGAGACAAATTCTAAGAGCAAGGCTCATTAACTAAAATAAGAGGCACAGGCTTCTTCAGGTTTGGGGGTCAAGAAACCACATGAAAGCAGGTAAGAGTAATAATGTACTCTTCAAGGGGAAAAAAGGAAGTTCCTCTGCCCCATGGTCACCCCACTTGAGGAAATCTAGTCAAAGGTCTGGGATTCCATGATTCCTTTTCTGGAAGGACAAGCTCTCAATGGGGCCTGTGCCCTCCAACGAGGAGGAGGCCAACAGCTGCCTGTTGAAGCCCCAATTCACTGTTTGCTTTTATCAACCTGTTGGATCAGGCAGCCATGGGTGGTGTGCCAAGTGCTGCTCCACCTACAGAGCAGAGCAAAAGGGCAAGAACAAGACCATAAAAGGATGAGATAGGGCAACTCGAGGCCCTTGCTTCCAGGATGGGAGGTGGCCTGGTGCCTACACAGCACCAGTTTATTATGTAGGTACCTGTGGAATGGTGGGAAACGAAGACAGTTTTTTCTGCAAAAGGTACTTATTTGGAGCCACAGGTTCTGACTGGTGAAAAGATAGCAAGAGCTTGACTGTGCCAGGGTATCAAAGGAAGGTCTGATGCTAGGGGGAGCAGTTAGGCAATAGAGGCATGGAGCCATGAAGAATACTGTAACTGCCCTATTTAATGTAATCGCCAAAGTCAATATACTGATCTTGAACTCTGACCTTGTGCTTCTCTCAAGAGTCTTCCAAGCAAGACACGTGTATTCAGAAAAATGAGTGAAAGGTTCAAGGGACTGGGGCGAAGCATCAGGAGCTCCAGGCTAGCTAAGCAGCCCTGAGGATTCCAGGACCTCCCTGGGTCTCCTCTATAAAAGGCAGCGGCTGAGCAGGGCTAAGGCTCTATTCTCACTCAGAGATGGGACTCCATGATATCCCTCTAAAGGAAGCAAATGAGCTCGGTAGTATGGGAGTAGGTAATACTTTGGGAAACCCAGGCAACTCTCCAAAGGAGGTTCAGTAAGAAAGACACAAGGGAACCTCAGTCCTAAGGTTAACAACAACAATAGCAGGACTTCCTGAGAAGACAGGAAGAACTGCAAAAAAGGAAAATTCATCAGCTTTATTCCTCCTCAGTTAGGACAGAGACATTGGATGTTTAAAGCAGCCTCAGCTACTACATGGCTGCCATACTCCCAGGACAACAGGTAGGACGAAAATAAACCTGAGGCTTTAGTAAAGCTCTAGGGGATCAGGTTTCAAACTCTTGAGTTTTAAGGACAAAATTTGGGACTGCTGATCAGGAAAGCCAAGCCAAGGAAGGACAAATAGGATTTAGGATGGACGGAGAAGGTAGCACCAGCCATTCCAAGCATAAAGAATGCAACTTTTCCCATCATGCACACCACTGTCTCTTGTTCCCTCTACAAAGTACAAATATGTTAGCTTCTTGGTTAATAAAGCAATTACTTTAAAAATAGGAGGCTTCAATGAATGTATTCCCTCATTCAGTTGTTTGTTGAAATAACCGGTAAGAAAGACTATCCCACTGTTTGAGCAGAGGCAGACGCAAGCGAGATCGAGGCCAGCCTGGTCTCCATAGTGAGTTCCAGGTCAGCTGAAGGTACAGGGAGATCCTGTCTCAAAAGGACCAAAAAAAGAAAAAAAGAGAGAGAGAGACCTGACAAATACAGGGGCCACATCTGACAGCTTCATCACAGCTGCTGAAGCCGTTTTATAGGGCTGGAGATTGAACCAGGGGCATTAATAATAGTTAGGCAAGTTTTCAAAGACCATGACTCTTTATGATAATTTTTACAGGTATTTAAGGCTAAATGGCTTTTAAAATCTGCTTAAACTTCACACCAGGAGAGGGAAAAGCTCTCAAGGGCCTTTAGTTAAAAAACTAAATTCTAGTAACATGAAGGACTGGGAACACTCTTAAATGTCTCTGACTACATCGTCAGAAAGCTTATTCTTAGTGTTTACACTGAAAATAAAGATGTCACCATAATCTAAATTTGGGGGAGGGGGTGGCTCCAAGTTCAAAAAGAGGTCAGCCTAACCTCAGCTCCAGAGCCAGGTTCCCATGTCAGGTGACCCACTGGAGCTAGGAAGCCCTGAATTTCTAATCAGGATAACTGACCCACAGGAGGGCCTGGAGAGAAGTAACACACACAACACCTCCCACCCTGAAATCCAGTAGGAAGTAAAAGCACCAAAGGGCGCGTGAATCTATGCTCAGAAATAAGGACACAACAGTTGGCTTTCTGCTCATATTTTCTGAAAGCTTCTAAGTAAGCCTGCTAATTAATGACACATCAGGCAAGGAATTCCTAGTTACATTAATCCAAGCTATTGCATGTACACAGCACATCGGAGCAATTTCTCCATCCAAAGCAGCAGCTTTGTGTGATTTAGAGCCTTGTAGTAAGGCTGCACTCCACTGCTCCAGCCCCACTGAGCATTAGGATTGCCTAGGAATTAAAAAAAACAACCAGTGTCGGAGGTCCCCTGCTGTCCCCAAGTGACTGTAATGTGGTCAGGCTTGGGAGAACTTTATTACAGCCAGGGTTTAGAACTAATAGGTCAGGCTTTAACTTGTCTGAGAGAGGCAGATTTCAAGCCAGATTGCTCAGCTGCTTGCCAGAGCTTTAAAGAACTCATGTGCTCAATTAAATTGAGGAGATCATTATTTCTCCATGCTCTGAACAGAAAGTTAAATGAGCTTCTTGAGATGCTCAGCCAAAGCCTGGCATGGCTTCCAAAGGCACTTTTCCTAGAGCTGAGAGGGAGCGAGACCAAGGCACTTGCCTTTCTGGAGCTTCAGCCTGGATTTGCGTGTAGGCTAGGGCTAGACTGAGAACTCTGAGCCACGCTCCAATTTCTCAGAGTTCTACCTGATAAGGCAATACTTCAGAGATAAAATTCCTCTCCACTCCAGTGAAAGCAGAAGGTGAGCACTGGAGACCATATAAAACCAAGGCAGCCAAAGAGGGAGAGCAAACCCCAAACAATCCAAGACTTCTGGGCAGTAGTAGGTAAATTTTTGACATTTTCTTAGGGACATTAGATGTAAGTACATTTTTTTCTTTAAGTAGGTCCACCACTAATTCCTCCATGATATGGTATCTGTCTGTTACTCTATCTCATTTTGAAAGCTTTAAAAGCTTCCTAGCTGAAAGAGCCTCATCAGTGAGCACCTGAATGAGCACCACTGGCTTTGCCTCCAATAGATCTGGTGGTCACACCCCTACATCCTTCAGTCTTGTGCAACCAGGTTATGAAGAAAAGTCACCCTTTGCAGTTTGCTGAAGCCATGTTCTATTTTTAACCCACTGCACTGATCAGTCGGGCCTCAGATATGATGGCAAGCTTCATGATCTTTCTCTGTTATTCTTAGCTCAGCTTCCACAGCTGAGTAAGACATTTTTCATATACTTAAAAGAGTATTAAAAATTGTATTGCTTGTCAGCAGGACAGGGTTGGCCCTTCTGCTTTTGATCTTATGGAAGGCAGCTTGGGACTACTTCTTGGGGAAATACTCCATAAACTTTTTCATCACAAAGAAGCAAAACACAGATCCAGAGCTCAACAATTCAGAATAAAGGGAAAAAGGTCACTGTCCAAAGTAGGGATATTTCAAAGTAACAGAAGATCTCAAATAATGCAGATTTCTCTCTCCTTACTGTTCACTAAGTCCATTCTTTAAATGAAACTTCCAAAACTCATAATAAATGACAGATGTCCAGTACTTTACAATGTACCCTATCAGCTTATATTACTCAACAAAAAATCTTAACCATATGTTTAATAGCTCTAGTAACAAAGAATGTGGTTCTGAGTTAAAATACGGTTTTAATATTGGTATCACAAAGCTCATACCATAGGAACAAAATTTGTATAAAGTAGCTCTTTAAATAATCCAGAATGCTAATTAACATTTCAATTCCTGGAAGGGCATGATTTCAAGGGCAAACCTAATATTCCAGGTGCTAACACCAGTGATACCTGAATACATAAAAATGTGGTCTCAAAACACCATACGTAGTTAGGCATGGTGGTGCATGCCTTTAATCTCAGCAGAGGGACTGGCAGGCAGAGGCAGGAGATCTCTGTGAGTTTGAGGGTCTCCTTGTCTTAAAAAAAAAAAAAAAAAAAAAAAAAAAAGAGCCAGGCATGGTGGCGCATGCCTGTAGTCCCAGCACTTGGGAGGCAGAGGCAAGTGGACCTCTGTGAGTTTAAGGCCTGCCTGGTCTACATAGTGAGTTCCAGGCCAGCTGGGGCTGCAGGGACACCCTGTCTCAAAAACACCAAAAACAAAACAAAACAAAACAAAACACCCCAACAAAACAAAAACAAAAAACCCCAAAGGATGCTACACTGCTGAAAGAAGCTGCCTTCTTCACCAACCAGGAGGAAATCTCTGACACATGTGCTAGACTGCAGAATGGGAAGCAAGTGCAGGCCCAGAGGAACTCCGGAGAAGCAGCAAAGTGCAGCTCAACAGGCCAAAGATTCCTGGAGTCTCAAGCCACTGTCTGCCATCTCTGCACTCACCTTTCTCTTCTTGGCCACCTTGCTGGAGCTGTCAGAGCTTCTATTCTCAGAGTCCTGCTTCTTCCCAGTTGGTGGCTGCTTGTCTTCTGCTTTCTTTGGGCGGTTCCCCTTCCCTGGGGGCTGGGGAATCCGAGTGAGAAGGTCTAGGGTTATTTTCACCACCAAGCTTGTTGGGGGGGTTGGAGTGTCCCTGAGCGGCGAGAGCAACTTGGTGTCTCTCAAAGGCAACAGGAGCGTGTCTTTGCGGCCGTCCTCCTGGACTACCACAGCCTGTCGGCAGCCACTAGTCCTTCCACCACTGCCACTATGGGGCAGACCCTGGCTCTGAGACAAGGAGACAAGAGCAAAATGCTCAGGGCTTCTGTCCCCCACATTGTCCTTCTGGGGCTTGGGGCCTGAGAGTGCCTTGGAGGGGGCTGGGAGGGAGCTCCTGTGCTGCTTCTTCTCACTGGGGGTGGGCACAGGTGCCTCTGGCTTGGACACAGGTGCCTCTTTGGGCTCCCTGCTACCCCCAGTACGTGGCCTTCCTTTCGTCTTCACCTTGGGCTTGTCTTTGGAAGTCTGCTCTTTCGAGCCGTAAGAAGGAGATCCTTGTTGGAGCTCCACCTGCAAGTTTCCCCGGGGCTCGGCCGGCCCAGAAGCCTTAGCAGGTTTTCTGGGTTGTTTGGTTCCAATAGTTTGCCGAGGAGGGGACTCCTGTTCTGCAGGGGACTTCTGGCAGCTCCTTTTCCCAGGGTAGGGGCCCTCAAAGGGACCCCGGGGAGCTCTGCTGGAACTCTTAGGGGGCGGGTCCTTGGATTCAGGGTGTTCCTGATCACTGCTGCTGCTGCCGCCACCTGCGCAGCCGCCCTTCTTCTGGTGCCAGTGTGGAGAATCTGTGCTCCGACTTTCGGTGGGGACTGCTGGCTGGTTGACTTTGGTCAACCAGTTGTCCAGCTGCCATTTGTTTGTTGTTGGAGGCTCAGGCTAAAAACAAAAATAGAGAAAAGCGTTAAATAATCAGGAGTGATAACCTATTCTTTTGTGTTAGTGGTCTAATTATACAGAACTGTCCCCAGGAGAGGCATTCATTCTAAGCCTGAGTTTACCTTCTATTCATCCTCTTCAAATTACAAGTCAGATTCTGTAACGACTTAAAATAGTCTTCAGTAACTGCAATTTGAGAATGTTGGCTAATAGTGACTAATAAGTCATTGACAACTGCTGAGAAAACTTTACAGTATTTATCTTTTGTTCTGATGGTAAATATGAACAGAATGGACACATTCTGACTTATACAGGAAACGAATAAAAAGAACCTTCAAGGCTTTTCAGAAGGCAGTTAGTGAACGAAACTAATCAACCGTTCATGCCACATCTCAACAGATAAGGACTTTTCTCTAAGACTAGATTTCCCTTCTCTTATTTGAAAACAATACAACATTTATACAAGACAGGATTTTTAATATAGCACAAACAGATCTGTTTTTCAATTTTTTATTTTTTTATTTTTTGGTCTTTTTTGAGACAGGGTCTCCCTATAGCCCCAGCTGGCCTGGAACTTGCTATGTAGACCAGGCTGGTCTTGAACTCACAGATCCACCTGCCTCTGCCTCCTGAGTCCTGGGATTAAAGGCATCCATGCCTGGCTATGATTTTCAAATTTTACACCTTGAAAAAGAGTCAAGTGAAGTCACATTAGCCAGGCATGAGTCCATTTTCCATTCTTTAAATCAGACATTGCATCTTTTGCTACAGGCAACCTGGTCTGAAACTACACTTGTTCCTAAAGACAAAGATAGGACCACAGCAGACATAGAAAAATCAGTGACTTGTCCTGGTGGTGGTGTGAAGGAGAAATGTCCCCATCGGCTCACATATTTGAACACTTGGTCCTCATTTCATAGCACTGTTTAGGGAGGTCAAGGAACCTTTAGGAGGAACAGCTTTGCTAGAGGAAGCACACCTCTAGTGGCAGGCCTCGAGAGTTCAGTCTGTAGCTGAAAATGCAGCTCTGCGCTTTTGGTTCCTGCCACTATGCTTCCACTTGTTCCATGCCTCCCATGATGGACTCTTAACCCATTGGAACTGTAGGCTACAATACACTCTTAAATAAGTTGCCTTTGGTCACAGTGTTTTCTCGCAGCAACAGAAAAGTAACTAATACACCCTGATTACTTGAACAACTAATTGGGCACATCAGTTTAAGTTCCTAAGGCATCCTAACTGTAATTTAAACTCTTGCTGCTAAATTAATTACCAAAACATGCCATGCCATGAGCTATTTGAGCATTCTTACAAGAATTTTATATCATATAGAAGAATACCAGTGTTGACAGAGTGAGCACTAATTATACTTTTTTAGAAGAGACATACAATGCTGGTTTGCTGCATGCTTTTTTCTTTTCCAAAATTCATTTGTATTTGTACTGCTGGCTTGTAGGAATAAACTAAACCATACACACCAAGTACCAGGCAGTTAACCAGAAGGTATTCCACATGTGATTTAACTGATTAGATAATGGACAAGAACATTCCAGTAGGTTGGAGCTAACAAAATTTGCTAGTTTGTTTTGTCTTCCTAGGAACAAACTGAAGTCCTTGAGCTCTTTCAATGAGCTTTATCCTCAGCTAAGACGAAGTTTTTTCAAAGGGAAGACTGCTGACAATTTTCCAAAGTAAAATACAGCAAATAATTCAACTCTATAAAATATGCAAGTCTAATACAGAATATTTGGTATGACTGCATTTTGCTCAAGGAAGGGTTATGAAATAAAATGGTCAGGTAAATAGTCTGGGCTTACTGTGTTCATAAGAGAACTCAAAGGAATGATAAGAAACCAGGTAGGAGCATCCTTCAGACAAAAAGATGACTGTGTAACTCCTCTTTTCCTGTTTGCCCCATACTGCTGCGTATGGTAACATAGCTCCTGTTCAGCTTCCTACACTTAGATCAACTCTAAATCCAGACTCTCATTTGAATTTCAGGGCAGCAAGAAAGGGAGACCATGACTACTGTTATGTTCCAGGCACTTGTCACATGGAAATGTGAATCTGTACTCAATATTCTAAAAAAGCAGGGTGACTATCAAGGATGGGGAATGAAAAGATCAGGAGAGCACCTACTTGTCACGCATGGTTTCCTACTTAGATCTATGGTTTTTGGTAGCACCAAGTGGTTAAATGACCTGACAAGGCAATAGGATACAATGCCAACTGTTAGGAACTAAACCTTTTCCACCATTCCTCAGGAAAGGCATGTACCGCCTATGTTTACAGCTGCAACTCAATCACCCACAAGCTTCTCAGGAAGGTTTTCATGTGTGAACTCAAAGGACACATCATTCCTGGTACAAATCACATCTGTAATCCCACCTCTAAAACACAAAGATGTTGACATGCATTTAGTAGTCCCTAAAGAAACTTCCTGGTTATGGAAATAGCATGCTTGCTCCCACTGCAGTCTTAAACATCCAGAAGGGAGTCCTATGGCCCACTTTCAGGATAAAACTGAGTGGTATGCCCAGACAAGGGGTCATGTAGGGACAAACCCTTCCTCTGAACCCAGCATGAAACTGCAAATGGATGTGGTCGATTAAGATTAGGAATTATTTTTTTAATCAGTTTATCTGGACCAACTGTATGGCCTTAAACACCCAAAAGGAAAGTATAACCAAAGATTAAAGGGGCCAATATAATTTCATAAGAGTCCATATGCATAGCTAAAGGCTGCACAACAAGCAACAATGCCAGACAGATGATACCTTCTTTTGAGTTGTTGGCCAGGATGGTCAAAGGGATTCCCAGATAGTAACCCAGCATAGAACTGGGAAA